TTATACTTTTAGTAATTTTATCAGTATGGGAGCAGAAATACCAAATTTTAGATTTTTGATTAAATCATATGATTTTTATAGATAGGGTATGATAGACAGACTACCACAGGCTTGTATCCCTAAATCGTTTTGTTTAATTAATTTAAATATGTTTATATTAAAATATAGTATACTAAAAACAACGAAGGAAATAAAGGTTAAAATTATAAAACAAAATTATATGTCTATTTGTGGTGCTCCTTCATCAGTACATTAAGAGCATCATAACGATATTATATATATCGTCTATATTAATGATGAAAGGAACTTATGGGCACGGTTGCCACTTGAAAATTGTTTTCTGTACCAAAATTGGTTTAAAAAGGTACCATTTCTGTAAAAAAAGGTCCAAATTTTTTTTGAACCTTTTTGTTTTCTCGTTCTGTGTTTTTCATAGTGTTACAAATGAACAAAATATAAAATAGTGCAAAGTTGCATTAATAAAAAAAATTAATTAGAAATATGCACAATAAAGTTGGTCCGTCAAAAATGTCCCATTTTTTGAACGTGAGTACCAAACGAAAAAAAAAAAAAGAAAAAGTACCAATTTTGGTACTAAAGTACCATAAGTGGCAACCGTGCTTATGGGTATCTTATAAACCTTATGTATGACAAAAAGTTTAATGGACGCTGATAAAATACAACTAACGAAAATAATTTTTGTTAATTTGTGTTTTTACAATTTAACTTTATTCTTATCGGAAGTCAAAAGTTAATCTATTTCTATATTTTTACAAAATGTTAAATACAGTTAATCAAATAAGAATAGCCTACTATTCAATTATGATTATACATTTCCAACATTCTCTTGGACCTAATTTTTGAAACCACTAAAGTAATGTTTAACATGACATTGAATTTTGTTTATTCTAGATTAAAACGAACAGGTTGTCTTCTCCTTCTAACCGACCGTCTTAATTGAACTGGCAACTGATCAGTGTGTGTGGACCCATATCTGTCGTCGGACTCCGCTTTGTCGTCTTTCTCTCTTTGATTTTGTTTCAAGTCAGATCCAGTAGTGATTATTGTTTCATCGGTCCCCATTTTGTCGTCTTTCTCTGCACTTTCTCTTCAACTCCGAATTTACTTCTATTTTGAGTTTTCATAGTCTCCATAACTTTCGGGAACAACGCCGATAAAATGGTTCTTGGTTGCCGCCCATGTAACAACTCTGCTGGCGATTTATCAGTTGCTAAGTTTGGAGTAGTTCTATACGTTGTAAGATATTTATACAACGCTTTGTCAATATGTTGTTCCTCTTTCATAATTTTTGTTACTGCTTCCTTAAAAGTTCTCACATGTCTTTCCGCTAACCCATTCGAAGCCGGATGAAAAGGAGCAGACGTGAGGTGCTGAATTGTGTTCATTTCACAAAACTTTTGAAATTCATTGGACGTGAATTGTGTTCCGTTGTCTGTCACGATAGTGCACGGAAGACCTTCGATAGAAAAAATTTTTTGTAGAGCTCCAACTGTTGTTACAGCTGTTATTGTTGATAGTTCCACAATATATGGAAATTTTGAATATGCATCCACAACTATGAGCCACATACGTTTAAAGAATGGACCCGCGAAATCCAAATGAACTCTTTCCCACGGCCTACTAGGTTCTGGCCATGCAGAAAATTCTCGCTTTGGTTGACTTGCACCTTGTTGACAAAATGAACAATCATCATGAATACGTTCTATGGCTTTATCAATAAGAGAAAACCACACATATCGTCTTGCCATCTGTTTCATACGACCTTTACCCCAATGACCCTCGTGTAACAAATTTAATACTTGAGATTGCAGTGCTTTCGGTAGCACCACTCTAGTATATTCAGCCTGAAGAAGTAACACTCCATTCTGAAATGATAAGCAAAATCTGCGATTAAAGTACGGTTTGATACTACCTTCAGATTTCGGCAATTGTTCAGGCCAGCCATCTTGTACATATCTGCTGACACGTTGAAGAGTGTTGTCATTAGCAGTCATATCCTTTACTAATGTTGCATTTACTGGAAGATAATCCACAGCATTTTGATAAACAGTATCGACATCATCTAACATCACAACTTCCTTTCTATCAAATTGTATGTCATCCCCACACGGCAATCTGGAAAGAGCATCAGCGTTAGCATTCTGAGATGAACTTTTGAACCGTATAATATATTCATATGCTTGAAGTACAATAGCCCAACGCTGTAAACGATGCAACGCCATCACTGGCAACTTTCTATTCGGATTAAACAGTGTTGTCAACGCTTGATGATCAGTTATTAATTCAAAACGTCTTCCATAAAGATATTGATGAAACTTGGTCACTCCATAAATTATTGCTAATGCCTCTTTTTCGATTTGAGAATAGCGTTCTTGGCTGCTGTTTAATTTTTTTTGAAGCATACGCGATTGGCTTCTCTGAACCATCAGCATAACGATGTGAAATTACTGCGCCGATTCCATACTTAGAAGCATCTACTGCTAACACTATAGGCTTCTTATCATCATAATGAACGAGTTCCGTAGCTTTGATCATAGCATTCTTCAATGCTTGAAAAGCATCTTCATGATATGCTGTCCATTTAAACACAGCATTCTTTTTCCTTAGTTCATTTAAAGGAGCAGCTAATATGGAAAACTGTTTAATGAATTTGTTATAATAATTAACTTTTCCAATGAAAGCTTCAACTTCTTGAATATTACGAGGACGCGGCATTAATTTGATTGCCTCTACACGTTTTCCTGTGGGCATTAATCCATTCATATTGATTACGTGTCCAACATAATCTACCTGCTCTTGCGCAAAACTACATTTTTCGCTTTTACATGTCAAGCCGTATTCTTCCAAACGTTGAAAAATTTTGAAAACATTATTCAAATGTTCTTTATTATTTCGACCTGTTACGATTATATCATCTAAATAAACTGCACAGTTCGGTATTCCAGCGGTTACTTCTTCCATAAGACGTTGAAATATGCCAGGAGCACTGGCAATACCGAATGGCAATCGTTGAAACTGGAACAAACCAAATGGCGTATTAATGACTAGAAGTTCTTTTGTTGCGTCAGACAATTCTACTTGCAAGTACGCTTCACTAAGATCAATTTTTGTGAAAAATTGTCCTCCTTGAAGTTTATAAAAAAGTTCCTCAACTATAGGAATTGGATACCTGTCAATCTCAATTTGCGAGTTCACACCAATTCTGAAATCTGCACAAATACGTAATTTTCCATTTGGCTTTGACACTACAACTATAGGAGCGGCCCAGACGCTGCTTCTGATAGCTTTCAAAACTCCAATATTTACCAACCGATCAATTTCGATGCGAACGTCTTCTCTTTTCGCAAACGGCAGGTTGTATGGTTTAAAGAATTTAGGCTTAGCATCTGACTTCAATCTGATTTCAGCTTTGAACAACGTACAACGCCCCAATTTCGAAGAAAAAATGTTAGCATGTTGACATCTGAGTTCATGTAGAGATGCGGTTAAACTTTGTTGACTGTCACAAGGATTATTTGCATAACATTCAATAACAGGTAACTGCAGTTTGAAATTTAATACTGTAAACAAATCCAATCCCAGTATGTTAGTAACATATTCATCGTTAACTACAAGTATCTCAAGGCTTCGAGTAATATTTCCATACTTGACATTTACTCTGAGAGAACCCTTAAGAAAAATAACAGCTCCTCCATACGCTCTCAGAACTTTATTCGTAGGCCCACAACTAGGTCTACCCAGTTGTTTATATGCCGCCAAACCAATTAAGGAACATGTTGCACCAGTATCTACTTGAAATGTTAAAATTTCGTTATTTATATTGAGGTCAACGAAAATTTTAGATGAACTAAGTTGCGAATCAACTGATTTAACTTCCGTTGTTTCATTCGCATTAATTGACTCAAATGAAACATCACTCATAGAATATACATCTCTTGCTCTATTTTGTTCCTGTCTTCGAACCTTAAAATTAGAATTCTGCTGAATACCTGTCACTGCTGATTGACAAACTGCAGCAATATGACCTTGCTTTGTACATAACCGACACTTTGTTTTGTTCTTGTAATGATAACATTGATTTCTTTGATGTGCTTTCCCACAAGCTGGACACGATTGTCCTCCCTTCACTGAATTTCGGGACTTAATATTACTTCGATTCTGTTTAACTTTCTTACTTGAACTGTGATTAACTTCATTAACTGTTTGACTGATATCTTCACCTCTAATTTCGTTACAAGTTTTAACCGTTGCTTCATATATTGCTGCTATCTGCAGTACTTCCTCTAGCGATGGGTTTGTTTTCTGCAACGCGGCACTACGGACTTTATCGTGTGGTGTGTGTATCACAACCATATCTCGTATACAATTATCTATAAACGATTGCTGGCAAGTTTCACTAGTACATAGGAACATGCACTCTTTAGCCGCACCACGCAGTTCTGCCACCCACTCAGCATATGATTGATTTGCTTTCATTCGTATTAAATGAAATTTAAAACGTGCTGCTAATATATGCTGTTTTTCCGCAAAATGATTATCCAATTTTGCTAGTAGTTCACCAAAAGACTTATTCTCTATATTATTGTCACATAACTTTTGAATAAGTTCAAAGGTCTCTGTACCTATCCACGAAAGGAAACATGCGCGTTTTAATACATCGTCTTTCACTTGATGTGCCACAAAATGTTGATGCATCTGCTGAATATATATCGACCACTTTTCAACATTTTTCTCAAACCGTCGAAAGGTTGGAGTTGAATTAGCGGATTTTTCCCCGTTAATCACGCTTCTCAATACTTCTTCATTTTTGTTTAATATTTTCTCAAAAAATTCTTGATTTGCTAATGAGAACTCTCTTAGAACTGTCGCGAGTGCCTGAGCATCCATTTCCTCGTCGCCAACTGTTAATTTGTGTTTTTACAATTTAACTTTATTCTTATCGGAAGTCAAAAGTTAATCTATTTCTATATTTTTACAAAATGTTAAATACAGTTAATCAAATAAGAATAGCCTACTATTCAATTATGATTATACATTTCCAACAAGCTTCTATTTTATAGTTAAATTTTTATAGTTCACAAAAAAGGTTAATAGTAACTTCCCCAAGCACAAAAGAGCTACATAGCAGCAACAATACAAGGTCTCAAGTGTGTATGTTTACACAATCAACATAGGCATACAACATTGTTGTTGTAGTCCGCGGGGATCTGCTTATAAAAGCGCTTGGGGAATGGTAAAAAGCACTTGGTCGTGGAAATTAACGGGTGACTGCAGGACGTAGACACGATCTGTCTTAAAAATTGAACAACCACTTGTTTATTTTAGTGCCATGGTACTTAACCAATCAGATTTGTGGGCTTGGTACTTAGAAACACCAAACATGAACCGTTGATATCTACTTCCTAGGCTTAGAAGTCATTTTTACCGAAAGCTTTTTGTAAAAATTTATATGAGAACAAGTGCTAACATTACCACTATTTTTTGTTGTGGTGATCTATCTGATGGAACCTGTAGAAAAATGTATACCCCACAAGATGAACTAGTGAAATAGATAGCAGAAAAAAAGAAGTTTATGTGGAATAGAGAAAGGTTGGGGATATAGGTGGATGCTAATTAAAACTAACCGGAGTTAATAGTGAAAGAACTTAACTACTTTAATGAAACGGAATAATAACAACTTTATTGGAACGGAGCAATAAATTAATAGGACTTAAATTTGCATATTAGCTGGAACATAAGAACAGATTGGCGATGTAATGAAACGTAGATCTGCAATTGATGCCAAGTAATTCTTTAGTAAATGGCTATAATCTGACATCAATAAGACTAGGATAATTCTTGCTGCACGAGGAGAATATATTCCATCTCTAAATCATTTCATTGTAATGTTGAAGCTTTACGTCGTAATGCAAATACATTGACTATATGACTAGATAAAATCTTTAATTTAAGATCTAATTTATAAACGATGTAAACGATGTATAAACGATGATATTGTAAATTATTCAGATTTTAAGATAACTTCAGTATCCTCAAGGTACCGAAACTGTACTGATGCGACTAATACTAAATAATTAATAATGGCTTTTTCAACGCTGCCATAATAAAGATTTTTTTATTTTAACAACATTTACCAATATTAATTATAATTAAGATTGGTAAACATTTCTAAAAAAATTTTATGATTTATACAATCTTCATTTTTTTTTTAGGGAGAAGTAATTACATTCCTTGATGCTCATTGCGAATGTACCGAAGGATGGCTTGAACCTCTACTTGCACGGATTGTACAAAACCGTCGCACTGTTGTATGCCCAATAATTGATGTGATTTCTGATGAGACCTTTGAATATATAACTGCGTCAGATTCTACGTGGGGCGGTTTTAATTGGAAACTTAATTTTAGATGGCAAGTATTAATAAAAATGAATTGTTTTTTTCGGTTTAAATGCCATAGATAAAAGTATAAGGTGAGCATATGTCCCATTTTAAAACGGACTGTCACTTTTTAAAACTTACTGCTCCGAAACAAAAAACAGAATCTTCCCTTTTTCAGAAATAATATTTGAAATTTATAATTGATTAATCGAGTCGACTCGTTTCTGATTTTAATGGAAAATTTGGTCAATAACCCAAATAAAAAAAAAAAAACGAATGAAGGTTCTGAATTATAATTGTCACATTATATGCACGTATATATTAAAACGAAAGTTGACATTGTTGACATTCATGTATATGTAATACTTTAAACGAGTAAAATATGCTGCATACAAAATTATAATAAAAACTTGGTTGCGGAAGTATCAAGATATAATCCTGGAATCAGCCACTTATCAGTACTGGTGTCGAAGTTCAACCCTCGACTAACTGCCATTTCATTTAGCACAAATTATTTATGTGTATAGTTTTTGGTTTTTTTTATGGTTTATTAAACTTAACTATGTTCTAGGTACCGTGTTCCTCAGCGCGAAATGGAGCGCCGTAACAATGACCGTACAGCGCCTTTACGTACACCCACCATGGCTGGCGGTTTATTTTCCATTGATAAAGATTATTTCTATGAAATTGGTTCATATGATGAGGGTATGGACATATGGGGTGGTGAAAACTTAGAAATGTCATTTAGGGTAAGCATACATTTTGCCAAAATATTTAGACTACTTAATAAATATATTTTTTAATAATTGAACATTTAAGGCAGAAGTGATAACTTTTATGTATTATTGATCTTATAATGTTACTGAGATAAGTTTACTATAACTAATATAGCAACTTCTTATACCAGCATCGCCGCGGTCCTTATAATAAGTGTCTTATTTTGTATATACCATATTTTGTAATAATTTTTGAGAAAATCTAGTGTACATTTAATCGAAACACAAAATTAATTTTAATTAATATTTAGTTTTATTTGATAATTATTTGTATTTTTAAAATCCGAAATTCAAAAAACTATTTAAACAAAATATTACATACACAAAATTTATAGATTTGGCAATGTGGAGGAATATTAGAAATAATACCCTGTTCCCATGTGGGTCACGTTTTCCGTGATAAGTCACCCTACACATTCCCCGGCGGTGTTGCCAATATTGTGCTACACAATGCGGCGCGTGTTGCCGAGGTGTGGTTGGATGAGTGGCGCGATTTTTATTATGCAATGAGCTCAGGTTCGCAAAATCAAAAAAAAAATTATTAAAAAAATTAAATTGTAATATTAAAATTTTAACTTTTTACTTATCACCACTGACAATAATGCTAACCCTTCACTAACAAGCTAGAGAAAAGTATTACAAAGTACTATAACAAATACAAAAACAAAAACATTACAACAAACACTATTACTCTTTTTAAAATTAATATTCATATAAACAAATTAGTTTTGTTTTGAAAATCATTTTTTATCTGATTTTTTATTTACTGCAAATAATAATCCGTAAATAATAAAAGTAAGCGAAGATCAAGAAATAGTTTAAAAATAAAAATTCAATATTATTTTAGATTCATTTCCTCCTCGAGTCTAATTGAAATCTATTTTTAAGCTATTTTACCAATTTTTTCGTCTAATTTGAAATTGAAATTTTTAAAAATTCATATATAATGCAAAACGCACTTTTAAAAATTTTTTACCAACAGATATAATTTTTTGTTTAGCTGCCGTTGAATTTTGTGCTCATTTTTCTATCTCAACACTTTTGATGTAAATTTATTGGATTCATTTTTGTATTTTTTTAATAAAATTAAGAATTTCTTTGTTGAAAGTTGGAATTAAACTAACACATACACATACAAACACGCTCAATATCACATATGGCTAAATAAAATTATGAATTTCTTACAACGCAGGACTTTACGCCAATTTGTTAAGCTAACATTGTTTTTATTGAGTAAAGTTTGAGTAAAATTTAATCATATTTTATCTTATAATATTGATTTGTATGGATTGGTTAATATATTTTGTACTTAAGCTAAAAATTACTCTTTTGCTAATTTGGAACCTAACAAATTATTTAAATTTTATTGTAATTAAATTAAAGTGACTAATTTTTAAATAACTGCCA